TGCATTTCGTCCAGATATGTTTTTACACATCACACAAGAAAATCCACCTTTACTCATTATTCTGGCTTAATAGATATTAGAAAAAAACGCAATCAAATAATCTTTACAAATAATCTTTACTAATAATATTCCACTTTTGTAATATCACAGAATAACTAATCAAATAAAAATATAACCTTAATCTAAACATACATTTATTATTATGGCATCGCCATGTTTTAGATAGTACAGTTGACGCATGCGTCGTAAAGTATTGTACGAAGAATTTCGGCTACTGTCGTAACTGTGTATGGTTAAACTGTGCCAGTACTTACAGTGAATATCGGAACGCACCCGACGGTTGACCAACATGGCCGCACCCAGATATTGAAGTAGAGCGGTAAATTCGAGTGGATTTATTACTATGAAAATTTAATTAGTCTGAAGCGAGCCGTGCAATCTTGTAACGTAGTTGCAACAGAGCAGCAGAAACAAACAGATCTGCATCTGTTGAGCAAACGGATCCAACTGATCAAGAATAATGCTCCTTTCTAATTAATTTAGTTAGCAACATTGCAACAGCTAGCTAATCCAGAACAACAAGCTCTGTAACAACTAATAAAACTGGTTAATAAGTAAAAAATATTATTATTGTGTTCTTTAACTGTGTTATCTTTAAAATATTAAATAATCACTAAAAACTATAATCCTTAATTTAAAAAAACTATATAACTGTTGTGCTCTTATAAAATAAGTAAAACAACTATATAATTTTGTGCTCTCACAAAATATAAGTTCTCATATATATTGTATATTAAACGTTTATAATAAAGATTTTTAATAAAAATTTTTTTGTACAATAATTCACTGTGAAACATGAAAAATTATAAAAATTGAAAGACAATTTTATGATTTTATAATTTTAAAAATATCTTAAAGAAAAACTTTAAAATTGTTGACATTTACTTTTCACACTTCTTAGGTTTCTTTAGATTTCTTTTACAGCAAGTTTTAAGATTACCTTAAAATTGTTTAAGGTAATCTTAAAACTTAAAAATTGTCTTTTAATTTTCATAATTTTTTATGTTTCACAGCGAATTATTGTACAAAAAAATTTTTTAAATTATTGAATTTAAAGTGTTCAAATTTATCTTTCCTATTTCTTAGGTTTTTGTTTAAGTTTCCTTTGCAATAAGTTTTAAGTTTTTTTTTGCCGTTTTTTAAAATAAATTTCCCCAAGGGGACGTTGGAACTTTTCGTGTTTGAACTTTAAAATTGTATTCAAAGTAATTTCCATCGCAGTTAATTTCACTCGCAATTTGGTCAACTCCGTCATTATTTCTTTATTATTTGGTAACTGATTCTTTTCCAAAATAATTTGTTTAGCTTGTTTCATTATATTAGGATCCATTCTCAAACTAGTCCAATATTTATCGTGATTTACAGACTCATTACAAACGTAATCTTTTGCTACAAATACATCATATTTATCGTTTCTTATACTGTCATACAACTTTACGTTGATTTTGCCATCTCTCAGATAATGTGGAAACAGGAAAATTCTGCTCGCGAGGAAGTCAAAAGGATTCCATCGTGATAATCTGGAATTTCCACAGCAGAAGTAAAACGGTTTATCAATTGCTATATTTTCGATATAGGCGACTACGCGTATCCAGGAGATGTGTCCGATTAGCTCAGCCTTGCTTGAGATCTCGGCGATGTGACTAACCGCCAAACCATTGAGCAAGTTAAATAGTACGATAACAATGAGAAAGACGAACAGCACTAATGTAATATGGCTCCAAAAAAGGTGCAGGATGAATGAGATATCATTGGCTTCGAACTCGCTGATAAGCACGATGGTGGTTTTGAAGAATGAGTACATGAGATCGGAAAAATTTGTGTTTTCCTTGAAGAGCGTATAGAAAGTCAAAGCGAACGTAATGGTGAAGAACATATACGGAAGGAATAAACGCGCATAGTTGACAGAAACTGTCCGGAATACTTCAAAGTTGGTAGACATATCCCTATGCTGGCTGACTAATATTATCAATTTCCAGGCGGACAATAGAATCAATAGAGTACCGATTTGAAGATTCGCCCCACATATGAAGACAAATGTCAAAGTGATCAGTACGATTCGCAACAAGTTCTCCAAGTTCGTCAAATAATGATAAGGAGAGAAAATGAATTGAAGAATCTCCCGTAAAGTAAAGAGTAACAATAGTAAGGTAATAGAGATCCATAAAAAATTGTCTTGGTACCGGATGATTTGCAGAGGATTTTCCAAAGTCGAAATGTTGAAGCTGTCATTAGTTATCTGCATTCTATTTTCATTCGGAGAATTGTTGGAACTCATACTTAAGATGTAAACGTTCAATAGGACATAGAAGATCACATAAAAGATAAAATTTGCATACAAAACGTGTCGTATCTTGTGCCATTTGAGGTAAAGAAAGGACGAAAGCAGCGGATGCTTCAACAAGTGTTTGAGATTACTGTTGCTAGCTATGTATTCGAAAACTTCCACCTCACGAGTTGTCTGACGAGTTTCGTCATGTTTCTTCAAAACGTCGTGTGGCATCAGACAACTGTAGTTGAATTCGATTACGTTTTCATTTGCCCATTCCTTCCGTATCTGTAAGCAGTTATCGAAGTAACGCGATAGCATGCAAGCTGGAATGTCTGCAATAGGTGGTATGTTGAACTCGTTCTTATAGCCAATATAGCTGCCTCGATTGAGAAGCAAGGTCACCGCTTCGGCACAACCTGCTCTGGCTGCATAATGCAACGGTGTATTACCTTTACCTGTAAAGTAATCTTTATGATAAAGAAGTCTGCAATCTTTAAAAAAATGTCTAAAACATTGCAATATAAAATATTTTACGTCTATACATTGCTTAAAAAGTTTGTTATCTTTTAAAATATAAAATATTGCAAGAATATTATTTTGCACGATTGAAATATTTCATAAAATATTTTCGATAACTTTTGTAACATTATACTATATTCGCTTTTAAAATATTTTGTGATATTCCTAGCTATATAATTATTCTGAAATATTTAGAATAATATTGTTGCGCCCATACTTCGAGCATCGTGGATCTTAAACCGCCGTCCGCTGACGTTGGTTACGAGAAAGAGATAATGAATATTCCCGTCGACGAGTCGTTGCTACGGGAATCAACAACGGAGAAATTGAAGTTATCGCGGAGCTATCAAACCGTTTGGACGTGCTCCCGGTGCATTTACGATATTTAATCTGTTCTTTCTG